GGTCTGGAGATTATATATATTATATATATATATATATATATATATATATATATATAGAGAGAGAGAGAGAGGGGCAGGGAGATAGATAGATAAGTGTTAATACTAAATAAATAATTATATATATACATATATATATATATATATATATATATATATATATATATATATATATATATATATATTGTGAATATCAAAGCAAATTATTTCAGTATATCAAATCATTACATTATATCGTAGCTTATATGTGCTGGGTATTTTGGCATTTCTCAGGGCAATGGAGATTTTCGTCCCAGTGTGCATTATTTCTTTCATAATATAAAATTTGTACAATATATATATATATATATATATATATATATATATATATATATATATATATATCAGTGTCACTCAGGCTCAGGCTTTCGCCAATATGGTCTACTCCCACCCGCAAAATTCTATCCCCCACTTGTGAAAACTATGTGAACAGATTTTAGTGTGTTAAGTTTTAGGATGATATAAACAAACATGTCACTTATACAGCTACAATATTTCGTAAGTTAGCAACTTCAGAAATGAAATGTGCCAATTCCTATATAGTTTTGGCATGCTGAATTCGAAAGTAACCTTCAAATTAGATTATTCTCTATAAATTGTGAGATATTTATTCAGTTATGTCATTACTGAAGATTTCAATGAACCTCTCAAAGAAAAACAATGTTACTTTGCAAAATCTGCTATGATGCTTTGTTCTGTTCTGTGTAGGCGACAAGATAGCAATACGCAAACACCTCAGGATGACAATATATATGTTTATTTAATAAAATACAACCGGAAAATTATCTTCAGAAGTATATACATGCGCAATAATTCAGCAACCACAAATCGCTTTTTAATTTGTCTTTTGTAAACTACAGAAGGGTCCTCTTTGGTCACAGTTCAACAATAATCAACAAACATTGATGGACTCCAACTGCTCAGATACCCTTTCTCCATTTCTGCAATGTGTTGATGAAATCGGTCAGTGTACTCGTGACGAGCACCACCGTCTTGTAGGGCGGGAATCAAGCTGAGAGTCTAAGAAGTGGATCTTCAACGATATGTTACAGCCAAGATGTTTGTGTGCCTTCAGGAGGTCCTCCACCGGTTTTCTATAATCTTCTGCCCTTTCGTTGCCCATAAAATTGGCAGCCACTGACTTAGAAGCTTCCCACGCAGTCAGTCTTTTCGTTTTCCTGTAGTAATCTATCAAAATTTTCATGGAGGAGAAGTTTACGAATCCGGGGACCAAGAAAGATATCTTCCTTTATCTTTGCTTCACTTGTCCTGGGAAATTTATTCTGTACATACTCAAATGCTGCTTTTGTTTTGTCCGTAGCCTTTACCAAATTTTTCATAAGGCCTAACTTTATGAGAAAAGGTGGCAACAAAATCTTTCAACTAGTGGTGGATGTATTTTCTCTCCTCGGTCCTAGTGATTGTCGTAGTGGCCAGTTTCTCTTAATGTAATGCGCATTACGGGCGTCCGGCGACGGCGAACGAAAGCCGCCAACAACTTCGACTGACTTACGCACTTACCTTCTAAGGCGCATTACACGCGTCGGGCGACGGCGAACGAAGGCCGGCCAGCAACTTCGACGGACTTACGCACTTACCTTCTAAGGCGCATTACTGGCGTCCGGTGACGGCAAACGAAGGTCTCGGCTGTCCCATTCACAAAGCATATAACAGTACTTGGTATATCCTCCTTGCAGTCCTATCAAAGGAGCAACAAAACTTCAAATCTCTGCAAAGTTACCAGCTATGTTGATCATAGTTGATATATCTCAGTAGCTGTTTCATATTTTGAGATTTAAGAATTGTCTTTGAGGAATCCAAGAACATCCTCCATTCCTCTGAAGAACGTGACTAGATCCATGTGATGATAATAGAAATGGGAATAGATTCAACTACTGTAATCTCGGACCTATCAGTTCTACTTTACTCGTAGGAAGTTTCATGTTTAAGTATAGTTGTGTTTTCAACGAGGATTTTCCAGAAATGTGCAGGCGGCCAGGAATGTTGTTTTAAATGTCTAAAAATGTTAGAGTTTTCATTGAAATGTCGTGAAAAGCGAGTTTATGGTGTGACCAACATAAATATTATTTATCACGTATGGACTCAATACTAATAATAAAATTCCCTTCCTTGACATATTGATAAATACAAATAATAAAAAAATATATTATTTCGCCATACAAAAAACCTACCAGCATAAATTCATGGATTGAATAAAATACAACCGGAAAATTATCTTCAGAAATATATAAATGCGCAGTTATTCAGCTCTCTGGGGAGAAAGTGTGAGTGTGTAAACAAGCATAAAGGAACAACAACCTTCAAATCTCTGCAAAGTTACCAGCTATGTTGATCACAGTTGATATATCTCAGTAGCTGTTTTATATTTTGAGATTTAAAAATTGTCTTCGAGGAATCAATGAACAGCCTCCATTCCTCTGAAGAACGTGACTAGATCCTTGTGACGATCATAGAAATGGGAATAGATTCAACTACTATAACTTTGGACCTATCAGTACTGATTTACTCGTAGGAAGTTCCAAATCTCTGACCTTTAGGTCACTTTCAGCTATAAGGTGTGATTCAGAGACGGATGTTGGACAATAATCTTAGTCATAGGAAGTTGATAGTTCAACCTGTGTATTTTCATTGTCTTCCTCATCATCTGACTCAATTTCATACGATTCCGTTGCTTCTGGTACAGGCATGTCTTCATGATGGGGAATAGGACATAAGCTGATGGAATGTTTGTATAATTCACTATCCATTTCATTCTTTCTTTGACTGTCCATTAGCAATTGGAGGCACCATGTACAAGTATCAATCAGTGGCATAATCGATTGGCGCTGTTCAAATCATGAGAACGGTAAAAGGTATCGATTTTTTTCTTCCAGTGACTGGGATTTGTTGCACAAGTATTACAGAATATGTATGGTACCCATTTTTTATTTTGCTTTCCAATTTTGCAACCAAAATATAGTTGGTAATCTTTTCTCACAATATGCGTTATATTTCTTTATCGAGACGCAAAATTAACCTCGCCATATATACAGCAGAAGTTATCGGCTTTGTTCAGACATTCACGGGGCATTTTCACAGGACATTTTTCACAGGTCAGTTAAATGTGAGAAAACCTGATTGGAAAGGAGAAAAATAAGTAGTTTATTAGGAGAAAAATATATATATAATAATGTTATTAGGGGAATAATAATTAATCTAGCAAGGACAACAATTTTGATGAAATATTCATATAACTCTAGTATTGTATCTTGAAATCTGGAGCCAATCAATAATTTTCGCTATCATTTTTATTTCTTGTACTTTCAAATTATCTAAGATTAGCTATTTTTGTTTCTGAAGCTTTCATATTGTAGACATTGAAATTTGTAAACCACATAATGAGGAGAGTGGGCTTAGAAAATTTGCCACTCACAGGACATATTAAAGGAATGGCATACTGACGAAAGGAGTGCATAATGTATTTAGCTGCTTCGTGAAGTTGATCTTCATTGGGCTTTGTATCATTGCTCCCAGGTATGGGTAAATAGCAGGACAGAACGAGTTCTGTAGCCTTGGATGGCAAGTGCTCTATCGCAGAAAGAAATGGCAACCTACTGCGGGAAAAAAATCTGCCTCGTAGTCATGTATCAAAAAGATACATGATCGCCTAAGCGTGTATCACGCATGGCACATAACTGACTGCTCTTCTTATACGGCGGTGGGTGCTGGATCGTCTCATCTCAGATGATCCCGAGAGTTGAGGCAGAAGAAATGCGGACAGGCGCATATCACGAGTTTACATAAAGAAACGACATACAACTATGATATGTAATTATTAGTGGAAATTAAATTTTCGATAGACTTGTTTAATAAATCCTACCAGTGATATCACGGCTTCCATAGAGAAACGACATACAGACAAAATATGTCATTCTTATTGTAAGTGATAGTTTTAGTCGACTTCTTTGCTAAATATCATAGGTTGCGTAAAGTAACATTGCGTTTGGGATATTGGTAAAATAAAAATGCTATTTATGCCGAACGTCACTTCGTCTTGGAATACAAAATGATTTGAGATGTATATGACTTTTCTCCAGGTTGTAACGAAAGCAAATCTGCAGGACGAATTCTCAGATTCGAGCCTTTTCGTTCTTATTTCTATATCACTATGTATTTTAAATCGTTGACGTGTACACGGGAACCTATTACATAAAGAAATCCAAGAAATTTCGCAGGCGAAACCAGACCCTGTGAAATTAGTCGAAGCCAAGAAAATGGAAGGCATTTTGAAAGGAACACATTTTTTATCGTAATTGTTTTACATTTGGGACTTTTTTCTTCCTTTTTTTTAATGTAAAGAAGCAAAAGTGAACACAAAAGAAATAAGGTAAAAAGAAAGAAAAAATAAAGACAACAAAAAGCAAACAAAGGAAAACAAAAGAAGAAGAAAAAGAACAGGACAAAGGAGGGAAAAGGAGGACAAAATACAGAAAACTAAAGAAAGTGTGGAAAGGGAAGAGAACAAAAAAGAGGAGAAACAATGAAAAGAAAGAAAGAAAGAAAGAAAGAAAGAAAGAAAGAAAGAAAGAAAGAAAGAAAGAGTGGAAAAAGAAAGAGATAAAAAACGCAAAAATACGAAAACAAACGAAAAAGAACGAGAATAAAAGTGAGAAAGAAAACAAATGATTGAAAAGAAAGAAAGAATCAAACAAAGAAGGAATTAAAAAGTTAATGAAAGTGGAAAAAGAAAGAGATCAAAAACAAAGAACATTAAATATGAAAAAGTAAAGAAAAGCAAAAAGAACGAGGACAAAATCAGAAAGAAAAAAAGAAATAAAAACTAATGAATGCAAGAAAAAGAAAGAAAGAAAGAATTAAGAAAGAAAGAGAGTGGAAAAAAGAAAGAGATAAAAAACACAAAAATACGAAAACAAAAGAAAAATTAAAAAGAACAAGAACAAAAGTCAGAAAGAAAGAAGAAAGAAAACAAAAAAAAAAGAAAGAAAGAAAGAAAGAAAGAAAAAAAAGAAAGAAAAAAGAAAGAAAGAAAGAAAAAAGAAAAAGAGAAAGAATGTAATGAATGATGGGAAAAAAAAGAAAATAAAAAGGGAAAAGAAAGAAAGAACAAAAGAAAGAAAGAAAGAAAGAAAGAAAATGAAAAGAAAGAAAGAAAAGAAAGAAAGAAAAGAAAAAAGAAAGGAAAAAAGAAAGAAAGAAAGAAAGAGAAAGGGGAAAAGAAAGAAAGAAAGAAAGAAAGAAAGAAAGAAAGAATAAAAAAACAACAGAGATCGGAAAAAGAAAGTGATAAGAAAACAAAGAATACAAAAGAACAGAAACAAAAGAAAAACCAAAAAGAACGAGAACAAAAGAAATAAAACAAATAAAAGAAAAAGAAAGAAAGAAAACAAAAAAAAAACTAAAAGAAATAGTTAAAAAAAAAGTGAGAAAGAGAACGAAAGTATGATAAAAAAAAGAAAAAAAAGAAAGCAAACAAGAATCAAGAATAAAAGAGAGGAACAAATAAATTGAAAAAAAAATTAATAAAAAAGAAAATAGAGGGAAAAAGTTAAAACGCAAGAAAACTAATAAATAACGAAAGAAAGAAATGCATTGGTCAGAGGTGAGTTATTTTGTCGGGTAGCTTTCGGTACGCATTCCGAGTACGTGTCATCGACAAGATGACACAGGTTGATGCGTACAGATTAGGCCGGGTAAAGATACCCGACACATGTGTATTCAGACGAGAGGGTAAGGATCAGTGGCAGATGTGAGAAAAGGACGTAAACAAGGAAGACGATCTGAATATCTTGTCATCTATCATTATTACCGGTGTCAGTTTGGTTATCCTTTTGCCTTGGCAACAACGGCAATTTTTCATTTTTGGGACTTTCTCCCCGCCCATATATATATATATATATATATATATATATATATATATATATATATATATATATTTGTGCGCGCGTGTATGCGTGTGTATCTAAATATGCATACTTGAATGCATCTTATGTATATATGAATATGTAGGTATACATTTTGACCTCAAGTTACATGCGCATCCACAGAGGTTTACATCACAGTTCACCGTCTATTATTCTCTATGTAAAACTACCATAAAATAAACAGATACACACACACACACATATATATATATATATATATATATATATATATATATATATATATATGTTGGAAATAAGAATAAGCAGCTCCCAAAAAAGACTGCCTAAAATTGCACGCAGGAAAATAAAGTGCTCAATATTATTATAAATGGCAGAGCTATAATATATTGTGAGTCAAATTTCGAGTGGGTAGTGACCGACCACGACTTCCAGTTTCATGCGCTTTCATGCAATAATTAGGTGGTCTGTAGGTGCAGTTTGAGAAAATATGAACTCTTATACCTCCAGGCAAGTACAAGATGGTAAGCCAACCAAACTCACCAGTGGGAGGGTAACCTATCCGGCCAAGATCAATGTCTTGGTACTATTATTCCTTACGACGTTGAGCACATTTTTTGTCACACCGGTAAACCATTTCTGGTGAAATCTTTTTTCTTTTTTTCTTGGTTATGATTCAATTCAGAGGGGGGCCATAAACTGTCGGTCTATAGTCTACACACACAAACACACACACAGACAAACAGACATATATATATATATATATATATATATATATATATATATTATAATTACATGAATCATTCATACAAAAAAACAAATATAGAGGTTAATGATTTAAATGGCGAGAATACATCTTCGCAAACAATTTCAATAAGGTAAACTAATTGAAAGATGTTTTCTCTCCATTTAAATCATTAACTCTATATTTGTTTTTTATGAATGAACTATATATAAATTGAACTGCCTATAATCGAAAAATATATATATATATATATATATATATATATATATATATATATATATATATATATATATATATATATATATATATATATATAGATAGAGAGACAGAGACAGAGATAGATAGAGAGTGAAAGGGATTATGGCCACATCACGTTGAAACATCGGTTCCCGTAAGATTACCGAAGTTAAGCAAGGTCGATCTTGGTCAATACCTCGATGGGTGAACGCTTAGAATAGATGGTGTTGTAAGCTTGGATGTGTGGGTGGTGCAATGGATAATGGCTTGTTCATCAGAGAGTCGAGTTTCAATACGTGTTGGGTTTGTTATATTCACTTACGCGCAAATAACCTTGCGAAAGGTAGAAATCCAACTTTTCTCCCCATTCAGCTATAGGTTAATTAGCAAGAAATCTATCAATAAAACCATTATTATATCAAAAGAAAATTCTTCTAATCTAAAAAATATTTTCTGGCATTAAAGGGTTGATAAGCGGTAGAAAACAAATCAATCAATCAAATACTGATTAGCTATACAGGTGTGCCTTTTACATTTATTTACCCTATGTAGAATATAAATGTATAAAAACAAAATTGGTCAGAAATGGGGGATCATTTTATATATTGATTGTAATATAGAATTGATCCCCCACTTAATATGCATATAATAATTTCTTGCTTCTTTATCAAATTCTGATTAGTTATAAATTCACCTCTTCTCCCTCCTAACTATGGGTTAATTAGTAAGACTTGTATCATTAAACCATTATAATCTCAAAAAAACTGTTACAATTTAAAAATATTTTCTGGCTTTAAATAACCTGCAAATGATTGATAAACCGTAGAAAATAGATCAATCGATCAATACGCACACAAAGATATATTATTTATAATAATAATAATAATAATAATAATAATCTGATGTAGACAAACCCCGTACCGATCTGTGGTTACTGAGTGTCGAGTTAAAAGCTGTAACCGAAGGTTTTTTCTTGAAGCACAGGACCAATGCTTGCTAACTAGAAATTTCCAAGCACATATAATGAAAAATTGTGTTGACTCCAGATATTGTGATAAATATCCAGAAACGATTGATCAACTTGTATCAGATTAAACAGTGCTAGCTCCCACTGAATATAAAACTCGGTATGGTCGAGAGGACCAATATCTGCACTAGTAATTATGCAACTTTTACGGGAAGAAAACTGCAAGAAATTGGTATGAACATCACCCAGACCCGGTTACAGAGATAGCACCTGTAATAATTTTATGGGACTTTCCAATACACACAATGAAAGCCAAACTCCCAGGCATCGTGATCAAAGGCCACAAGAACAGAATGTGTTTTCTTATTGACAAGGCAGTTCCTGCAGATTGTAATGTATCTCTGAAGATCTTCAAAAGACGATCAAAATACAAGGATCTTGAAATGGAAATCTCAAAAATGTGGCACACGGGAACATCAGTAATTCCAGTTGTAGTTGGAGCCCTCGGATTGATTGGAAAAGGTTCCAACAGTCTAACTGAAGTGATTCTTGGTAGCGCATGTCTTAAAGAAACACAAAAAAAAATGTCCTCACAAGCATAGCTCACACATTACAAAGAGCTTTATCTATGTGAAAATGTGTGTGATATTAGCTCAGGGGAAGATGTCATGAAGCTATTTCTGACCCGAGATCTCTGGTTGGGACCCGGAAGAAAATGTGTAAACAACAGAAACCCAAGGAAATAATAATAATCATAATAATAATACGTGTTGATATAATTAAATTTCTTTATAAATGTAAATGACAATAGGGAAAAAAAGTAGCCAAAACAGCTTGCTTTTGCATGTAAAACTCAATATTTTTCAAACCTTTGTAAAACATACAATTTGTAATATAACTTTGTAAAAACTGTTGAAACTTTTTAAACTCAATATATTTTGATCGATACCATATCGATTTTCAATAATTTTATTGGCTTTCTAATGTTTCCAATTAGTTATTTAAATTCTCAAGCAAGCGTGTTTAACGTTCAAAAACTAGCCAAAATAGCTTGCTTTTGCATGTAAAACTCAATATTTAATATATGTAATAGTTGCCGACGCGTTTCGTCCAATGTGGACTTTCTCAGGGCAAAAAAAAACGAAGTGAATTTATTTAAACAAAGTAACTAATAAAACAAACTGTCCTTAACAACTGGAAGAATTTAGAGAATGCTATTTTCATACTGTTAACTGAAATTACGTCAATTACTGTCACGTGTGGGGATATTGTGATTATTGCTGTGTTGACGGATTCAACAATTTTCTTTTGATTTTACGATATTGTTGTGTACGTTTGTCTGGGAGAGTAGTAATTCTTTTAAGAAAGGTGAAATAGGAAAAAAGCATGAGCGTAGATTAATATTTGTGTAATATTCAATGGCAGCACTCTCTAGGATTTTCCTTCTGAGTGTGTTATTTTTTTTTTATGAATGTAGCATTTTTAAAATCAAAATTGTGGTCTAATTTATTTCTATGTCTGACTAGTGCATTAGGTAAGTTGTTTTTTGTATTTTCAGAGATGTCAGAATGAGCAGAATTTTCGCAATAAGAGAGGTCATTCGAAAACCAGTGCGATAATCGTTACAAGTAATCCCCGTGAAAATTTCATGGTTTTGTTCTTTTTATTGTCTGATGAATCACAATTCTTGAGTTAATAAATGAATAAGCATTCTACCAGTTTCATATCCATGGGAATACCTGTTAAAATTCCCCTACTGCGTCATCCACTAATATTTTAGCTTTTTAACAAAATATTGTAATTAGAATCAAAAGTAGAAAAGCAGTTGTTTCCAATAAAAGGTTTTTTCTATTTCACTGATTCAGACGGAAAACACATTGAAACGCTATCGTTTCTTTTTTTTTTGTTTTATCTTACTGCAACCAAACAACGTCACTGATATGTCTTTTTCCTCTTTCCCCGATCAAAACATAATGGTGCATTATCCATGATGTATTGGCTGGGGGTAATGTGTGTGCTAACCAACTAAGGAGTAAGCAGAATTATACGAGTATCAATAACTAAAATATTCATTTGTGACCGACTGAAAGTTTTACAATGATTTTTAACTCTAAT